AACGGATCCTTTTACAAGTACTACTGCAACGGATCCCTCAATTCAGCCTGGCCAAGGTGGTCAAGGTGGTCAAACACAAACAGGCACTCATCTTCCTGGCTCATCAACGGATCCTTTTACAAGTACTACTGCAACGGATCCCTCAATTCAGCCTGGCCAAGGTAGTCAAGGTGGTCAAACACAAACAGGCACTCATCTTCCTGGCTCATCAACGGATCCTTCTACAAGTACTACTGCAACGGATCTCTCAGTTCAGCCTAGTCAAGGTAGTCAAGGTGGTCAAACAGGCACTCAACTTCCTGGCTCATCAACAGATCCTTCTACAAGTACTACTGCAACGGATCCCTCAGTTCAGCCTGGTCAAGGTGGTCAAGGTGGTCAGACACAAACTGGCACTCAACTTCCTGGCTCATCAACGGATCCTTCTATGAGTACCACTGCAACAGATCCCTCAGTTCAACCTGGACACGGTGGACATGGTGGTCAAACACAAACTGGCACTCAACTTCCTGGCTTATCAACGGATCCTTCTACAAGTACTACTGCAACGGATCCTTCAGTTCAGCCTGGACAAGGTAGTCAAGGTGGTCAATCACAAACTAGCTCTCAACTTCCTTGCTCATCAGCGGATCCTTCTACAAGTACTACTGCAACGGATCCCTCAGTTCAGCCTGGTCAAGGTAGTCAAGGTGGTCAATCACAAACTGGCACTCAGCTTCCTGGCTCATCAACGGATCCTTCTACAAGTACTACTGCAACGGATCCCTCAGTTCAGCCTGGACAAGGTGGTCAATCACAAACTGGCACTCAACTTCCTGGCTTATCAACGGATCCATCAACGGCAACAAATCCCTCAGTTCAGCCTGGACAGTGTGGTCAAGGTGGTCAAACACAAACTGGTACTCAACTTCCTGGCTCATCAACAGATCCTCCTACAAGTACTACTGCAACGGATCCCTCAGTACAAGCTAGTCAAGGTGGTCAAGGTGGTCAATCACAAACTGGCACTCAACTTCCTGGCTCATCAACGGATTCTTCTACAAGTACTACAGCAACAGATCCCTCAGTTCAGCCTGGTCAAGGTGGTCAAGGTGGTCAAACACAAACAGGCACTCAACTTCCTGGCTCATCAACAGATCCTTCTACAAGTACTACTGCAACGGATCCCTCAGTTCAGCCTGGTCAAGGTGGTCAAGGTGGTCAAACACAAACTGGCACTCAACTTCCTGGCTCATCAACGGATCCTTCTATGAGTACCACTGCAACAGATCCCTCAGTTCAACCTGGACACGGTGGACATGGTGGTCAAACACAAACTGGCACTCAACTTCCTGGCTTATCAACGGATCCTTCTACAAGTACTACTGCAACGGATCCTTCAGTTCAGCCTGGACAAGGTAGTCAAGGTGGTCAATCACAAACTAGCTCTCAACTTCCTTGCTCATCAGCGGATCCTTCTACAAGTACTACTGCAACGGATCCCTCAGTTCAGCCTGGTCAAGGTAGTCAAGGTGGTCAATCACAAACTGGCACTCAACTTCATGGCTCATCAACAGATCCTTCTACAAATACTACTGCAGCGGATCCCTCAGTACAGGCTAGTCAAGGTGGTCAAGGTGGTCAATCACAAACTGGCACTCAACTTCCTGGCTCGTCATCCGATCCTTCTGTAAGTACTACTGCAACGGATCCCTCAGTTCAGTCTGGACAAGGTAGTCAGGGTGGTCAAACACAAACTGGCACTCAACTTCCTGGCTCGTCAACGGATCCTTCTGTAAGTACTACTGCAACGGATCCCTCAGTTCAGCCTGGTCAAGGTAGTCAAGGTGGTCAATCACAAACTGGCACTCAACTCTTTGGGTCGTCAACGGATTCTTCTACAAGTACTACTGCAACGGATCCCTCAGTTCAGCCTGGACAAGGTGGTCAAGGTGGTCAATCACAAAGTGGCACTCAACTTCCTGGCTTCTCAACGGATTCTTCCACAAGTTCTACTGCAACGGGTTCCTCAGTTCAGCCTGGACAAGGTGGTCAATCACAAACTGGCACTCAACTTCCTGGCTCATCAACTGATCCTTCCACAAGTTCTACTGTAACGGATCCCTCAGTTCAGCCTGGTCAAGGTGGTCAAGGTGGTCAATCACAAACTGACACTCAACCTCCTGTCTCATCAACGGATCCTTCTGCAAGCACTCTTGCAACGGATCCCTCAGTTCAGACTAGTCAAGGAGGTCAAACACAAACTGGCATTCAACTTCCTGGCTCATCAACGGATTCTTCTACAAGTACTACTGCAACGGATTCCTCTGTTCAGACTAGTCAAGGAGGTCAAACACAAACTGGCACTCAACTTCCTGGCTCATCAACGGATTCTTCTACAAGTACTACTGCAACGAGTGCCTCAGTTCAGAATGGTCAAGGTGGTCAATCACAAGCTGGCAGTTATGTTCCCCCCTCACCGGTGCTTACTGATCCGATTTCGAATAGTGAGGAGGATGATGAAAGCCTTGAGTCTGACACCCACACGATCAAACAGAATAACATCGAAACTATGACGCAAAATATATATTGGGATGGCAATATCGGTGTGGACGAAAATAGTTCGGATGAAGAAGCAAAACTTCAAGTGAACCTTTTTAAAGGTAAGTTGCAATACCAAGTAGATGTATTTTATTTTTAATTCGGCTGTATTTTTAATAGCTTATGCTAATCAACAAAAGTCCGTAAAGCTGACAAACTCTATCAATAAAAAATATTCTAAGGAAGGCGGTGATATTAGTTTGTTAAACTCTAAAGGTATGATAACATTAAAAGTAATTTATATAACCTATAATTTGATATTATATATATTGCAGAAATTATTAAAATAAAATTAAATTCTCCAGCTTCAAAAACACAGCAGGGAATTTTGAATAAAAGTGATTTAGATTCGTCTGAGAAATTGGAAAAAATTGAGTCTGAGAATAATCAAAGTTCAACAAGAGAGGAAGAGAATACTGAATCTGAACAAAAAGACTTAGTTGACTCTAAAGAACTGAAGAAACTTATCAAGAAGTATGTCAAACATTTGAAAAATGAAAAGGACTGTGATGATGATGACATATATCCAGATTATCTAGATTGTAAGCGATATTATAGATGTGTGGAAAAGTCAGATGAAATTGAATTCAAGCATATGTATTGCAGTGGTGATACGCTATTCGACAGCAAAACGCTTAAATGTGTTAAAAACGATAAAGCCAAATGCTTTACAAAATACGATTTAATGAAAAAATTCTCGTAACTGAAACAAAAATTAATGTTCTCTTAATTTTTTTTTTCAAATAAAATCGCTTGTAAGAAAGCCAACAAAAATTTAAATATTTCTTTGTAATTGACAGAAAACAAATCATTTCGATTGAAAATTCATAAAATGACTCGTAAATTATAACTTTTATTAAATACAAACCTGTATTTAGACGTCAGTGAAATGAGCTTATAACGTCGGTAAATGAACTGTATGCAAAAAGTTTAAAAAGTTTGCAACACAAACAAACCAGAACAATTTTAGAATAATTTAATCCAAAAAAATAAAAAATATGATTATTTAATCAGTTTAACTTAAGTATTATTCAATTATTAATCGTGCAGTTATTATGCATTCAGGATTAGTAACAACATTAAACAATCCGTTTCAGACCGAATAACGAAGTATTCAAACTATTCGAATAGTAGTCTGTGCGTTGCTTAAATAGTTTGAAAGTAAGTTGTGATTTTTGTATTTTTTTATATGTAAAAGAATATAAAATTTTCTTTTATTGGTGATGTCTTTTGCTATAAATTATACGTAATTTGCAGAATATTTATTTATAACAATTTTTATTTGTAATTATGTACACATTTGTTTAGTTTTCTTGACTCTGCTTATTTTTTATTCCTTTTCTGCCGATATTTAATAAGTGTTCAAGCATGAACACGTATTATTATATTATATTATTATACTCGTATGTTAGTTTATTATTATAAGTCTGTTATCGTTTAAATTCCCAGAGTTATGAACTAAGAAAAAACATCAGAAAACAATACCCTATATTAAAATAGCAAACATTGTAACATTTTTAAATATCTAATTATCCGTATCTAATTATAATTATTATAATTAGAAATATAATTTATTTCTTATGACACAAAAGTACAAACAGAATATGGTTCAGTTGTGTCTATTATCGCAACTAAAATTCAAGACTTTCACATGATCACTGTTGCAATATAGCTTGGAGCTGATCCCTCAAAATAAGACTAGAACTGCTTTACATATTTTTCTACCTATCCTTATCACCTCTGCTATACTAATGAAAGCATTATTCAGCAAAGTTTAACATGATCAAATTTTCAATTCAATTATTGTATACTCATTCAGCATTACAATATCGTTTTCTAATTACATACAAGATCAATTTACATAATACTATATAATGTTACGCTTCCACAGAGTGTGCAGTTTTCATATTTTCCCAATTATAATTCTCATTAATTTCCCAACAACCACATTTAGTAAGTAAATTAATTAATTAAATACTCAAAAATTTAACAAACTGAAGACTACTTTTAGGCTGAGCTCATAATAGCACAACTAAATTGTAATTTAAATTTTACTCGAATTTTATTTTAAACGCAGTTTTTGTTCCGACGACCACAAGAATAAGTAATCCTTTTTGGCGTTTTTCAATTTCAAGATTTTATTCCTCTTCTCATTTAAATTGTCTTTTGTTACTTCCTACCTTCCTCCCCCACCACAATAGCAAAAGAACGTTTTAAAACATTTGATTTAAATATAAATCTGACTATGGTAACCTTCAGACTACCGTGAAAGACCAGCATAAAAGGTGGAAGGAACACTCTGCAAACGTACTAAATTCCGTAAGCCCACGGAAACTACACTGAATAAAGTGTATTACCATTGCCATTAAACATATATTCACCATCAAAAAAAGGAACTGATCGACGTTGTAATGTCGCTAAAGAATATTAAAAGTGCCGGAGCTGACATCATCCCGGCTGAAATAATTAAAGTATATGCTATTTGCAACTGTTTGCAAATAATCTCAGTCCTCTGTTTATTGGAATATGGAGATCGGAAGTTTTTCCCACAGACTGGATGCGTGGCATAATTGTAATGGAACTTTGGCGACTACGTGTCTGACCTACTGCAACTTGAATATAGCGTTCGAACATATGAAAAATTCGAACAAATTAAAGCAATTTTATTGGTGAGTGACTATAATCTGACAAATTGACGATAATGGCAAATAAAATTTGTGGCAGTGAAGTAGTTGAAATGAATAGTGTTATAAGCTCGCGATCATCAAATATTCAAACTTTTGAGAAAAAAATAAACGAACTATCTATGCAAGTATCAACTTTAGCAAGATCAAGATATTAATCACGCTCAAGGAAATTTAATAAACATTTTTAAACACCAAATAAAAGCAATCCATTTTGTTGTTACCATTTTAAATTTGTTAAAAGTGCAAAAAAATGTGAACAATCATGCACCTTTGCGAACAATAAACAGAAAACTGATGGGCTCCTCATCTTTAGTGACGAGTGAGCATTGCCCAGAAATTGGTCGCCTGTTTATTTATTTGTTGTTTTTTATTATATGTAAACAAAATATAGAGTTTAAATTAACAACAATCAGAGGTTTTTAAATTAATATTACAAGTAAGTTTACTAAGATGAGCATATAGATCTGAGCTAGAAATATCCTTGCTGGTTGAAATGCCTCAAAAGGTCATTTGGTTTGAAGCGGCATAAGCGTCTGTGTGTGACATCGTAAAGGAACGCCGGAATGATGCTGTTCAAGTTTTGACTCAGCCTGTCATAATGTGTTTTAGCAGCCTTCTGAATTTCTTGCTTGACAGTAGATATTTCAAGGTCATGATGTAGATCAGTATTTCGTACATACTACCGAGCGCTAACTGCATCCCTGAGTGCTTTGTTTTGGAAACTTTTCATCATATCAATTATATGTTTTTTTGCACAACCCCAAATTTGGACACCATAGTACCATACCGG